TAATAAGTAAACACTGGCATTCTTAAAAGTGATTAATAATAACTAAAAAGGGAACCATGAGCCAGCCTAAAGGTAGAAAGCTTTTTAAAATAAGATAAGCATATCATATAAAAATAAAAGCTCAGCATAAGTAAGTCATAATATATATATATTAAATTATAAAATTTATATACAGATGGTCTCATTATAGGAGATAACATTTGGGCAGAAAGAGTTCATCTATTGAGTTTGCATATTGTATTTCAGGTAACTTGGTACTGATTTTCTGAAGAATTTTGGCTATTGAAAGACCCTTAAATAGATTACCTATTTCCTTTAGAAGCTTGTAAACTTCTCCTAGGGAGCTTTAAGTTGAGGCTACTGGTATTAGTACTGTTTACATCAATACAACTTGTATTGACTGGGTGTCTAACATAATCGTATTTCCACTTGTTACATTTGCATAAGATAACTCATTAGTACTACGGGATCTATTACATATTATCAGTTTTCCAGTACAATTTACATAGGTCTGGAGTTAGTTTTGTTGGGTTTTGGAAATTTAGGACAACCCCTAAAATTGGCGGTGTGTCCTACTTTGAGGCAGTTGCAACACCTAACTACTTCTAACCTTTTAGTCTATGCATTTGTGCAATTTTCCTAACTTTGAACCCCATGTTACTTAATTCTTGTTTAATTTCATCTATCGAACAGTCTATGAGAAGGCCTCTGGCTAGTACTTTAATTAGTCGGTCATATTTTTTGGTAATGAGATAATAATCAATTTTACATCTGCCGTTATAATTGGTTATACCTCGATGAGCATCTTCTGTTTTGGGAAAGATTTTCCAAAAAATCACCCCCAAACCTTGCCCGCGAAATTTAATCCCGTATCTTGCTTCATATTTTTCTTGAAATCTGAATACTGAATTGGTGGTTGGGCTTAGGCAACATTTTCAACATATTATTTTCATTGCTGTCCGAAACATCTTTGGGTAATTCATGAAATTTATTACTGAGGGGAATTTCAACATTATTCTTTATCAATTTAGATGGTCTGGCCGTTTTTTTTACTCGATTTTTTGACGGCCGTTTAAGCTTAGAAGTCATAAGAGAATTATTATCAGAAATATTAACATTACGGGTATGAATATCCTCCATAATGATAACACAGTCACTATTAGTCTTCACCTGATTAGGGGTATCAATAACATCAACATTGCAAACAGCACTAGAATTTTCATTAACATTATATTCATCATGCAAATTAAGAACCAGTCCACCATAATTAAGTTTAACAATATTATGATGTAATTCACAAAATGCTTTGCACTTATCTTGAAATAAAATTGTTAGCTCTTCACAAATAGTCCTAATTTTCTGGTATTGTTCTATGCCAGGCGACATTGTTTTCTGTGTAAAGAGAGCGTGGCGAATTTTTACGTAATCCTTGAGGTCAGTCGGTTCTTTCAATAATAAGTCGTTACATTCGCTATTCAGTTTTTCATGAGCGTATTTAACAAGTTCATCCGGCAAACCCGACACCAAAGAATACACGAGGCGACGAGCAACAGCTTTCGCATCCTCGAAAGTTAATGGGGGGAAAATCATTTCCCGCCATCTTAATTTCACAAACATAATCCAACGGAAACACTTAGAAGTTCATCACAGTTCAAAATAAAATCCTCAATAATTAGCGCACATCAAAATATGTATAGAGATAAAAGAAGAGCACGAGGGTCGCGTGAAAATGGCGATCCACACAGAAGAGGAGCACTAACAAATAACGTCACATAAGCTCAGCATCGAATCCATATGCTACATTTATGATGACAGCAGTAGTTAACTAATTAATTTTTGTCTCTACTTAAATATAAATTTTTTAATATCTGTATAGTGAACTCAAATTCTTTATTTCTTAATTAACACAGTGATTAAATAGCGTTCCGTACGGCTTCGACAACGACCGAAAATTATATTCATTTTTCTTTTCCTGTTTCCGGATGCGGAGTCAGTTTATTTTACAGAATAAAATTTCTTGTACTCCAGAACTCTTTTCATTCATTCAATCAGTATTGCTATTGAAATGCAACCTGATCTTTTCGATTTTAAATTACATTAATTGTTTGTAATTCTATCACCCTCCTAATAATTTCTTCTTATTGGGCGAACCGACACTTTTTTCGTATAAAGCATAAAAATGCGCGTCTGGATCTGCGAGGCAGGTACTCCGTAATTTGAAATCATTGGCATTGGCGCGCGGCCACTTATCTGAAGTTTTTTTTTAGGCTGTCATATAATTTCACCTCATTCTTTTTGAGTTAAATTAAAATTAGCATTTAATTTTCTTTTTATATATCTGAATTCTAACACAATAATGTTAAAGTTCCAATTTCTTTTTGACGTATATTCTCTATATTTCATAAATTTTTTGGATGACCTATATCTAAAGCGCTCACACATAGGACTCTCTTCTTCAGGAGCAATGAAGTCTTTTGGAGTCAGGTTTCGCTGCCTTTACAGCTTTCTTCGGGCTTTTTGCTTTACTCACCTTTTTAACACTAACTTTCTCAGCAGCCGGTTTCTTTTTCTCTTCTTTAGTCTTAGCTGGTTTCTTAGCAGCTGGTTTAGCTTTCTTGGCTGATGATGCAGCTGCTTTCTTAGGCTTCTTTTCCTGACTCTTTACTCTTCTGACCGGATGCGCTAACTTTAAATGAACCAGTAGATCCTTTTCCTTTTGTCTGAACCAGGCTTCCACCCGCCACACACGCGACGTTACCAGCTCTGCTGAAATAATGCCGCGAGAGCGGCAATTGAGATTGTAATCTGCGTGAAGGGTATTGTGGTCTGGTCAGGTCAGTTATCTGATTTAGACAGCATTTATCGGATCTTTTTCTGTTTCGTGCGAAAATGTTATATAATAATGGTAGGTGGGGCTTAGAAATCTTACCTCTACAATAGGTATTTTTAGTCACATGATCTGAAACTAAATTCACAAAAAGGCCAGGGCTAAAAATCATTTTTTCCCAATTCTGATACCTCCTATCACTCGGTCCAGTAACTGATATGTCATATGCCCTTCGGGCATACTTGTCATGAGCCGGACACGTTGCATCTAATGCAATATTTAGGCATAATTAGTAATGAATGAATGAAAAAAAAATCATTTTTAACTTACTTCCCCAAGCCATGTTTTTGGGTCATTTTCTTTTTTTTGAGTGCTGATATCCCATCTTTGGATCTACTCATGTAAACCTCATCACCATGCCCATTCTGGAAACATCTCAGGTTGCAGGGAAGTACTGCTGCCGCAGTAGAAACCCTGCATAATCACGTTCGTATCAAAGTATGAAGTAATTTTTAATCATTGGCATTTGCGAGGGCATATCTTTTCGTTTTAACGAAAGCGTTACTTTTTGTCATACCTCGTACTAAGCAGACTGCAAGGAAAAGTACCGGAGGTAAAGCTCCTAAGAAGCAGCTGGCCACCAAAGCTGCACATAAAAGCACACCAGCAACCGGAGGTGTTAAAGGTTAAAAAAAAAAAAAAAAAAAAAAAAAAAAAAAAAAGGCCATTTTCAGGGCTGTACAAATAATTTAATAAGATTCGATATAATTGCTATCATTTGTTCCCTCTTTTTTTTTTTTTTTTTTTTTTTTTTTTTTTTTTTTTTTTTTAACATTACATTTTTCCGTGGCCCACCAGCGGCCGAGCGGTAAAGTCGCTGAACACTGGTAGTTCGGTCCGAGGTTCGAATCCCGCGAACGGGCTGGCTGTATGGGCGTTTTCGTGGTTTTCCCCATGTGTAACGTGTATACTAGCCAGTTTCCCTTAGAAAGTCCTCCACGAGGGCATCCCTCCTCTTAGGCAGATAGCCCTGGAGGCTTTGCCATACTCACACACACACATTTTTTTTTCGTATTTACATTAGAAGACACTCTTTTAAAAAAGATTTCTTGTGATAGCAATTATTCTAACTAATAAAATTATTTGTAATTCTTGTAAAAGGGTTTAAAAACACCAAACTATGCGTTGTAGTGACTTTCGAAATTCAAGATTCGAACTACTTTTTAGTACAAATGTATATGGCAAGATGGCGCCACTTCTAAGATGCGCTTTAAACTCCGTTCACCTATAGTTTCCCACAGAAGTTTACTGATAAGTTATTGTTTTAAAATGTACTTGAAAACTTAAACGAATGTGTCCAGAATTACAGAATATTATTCTTATTAAAACTTATCTTATGAATATTAATTAACACTACTTCTCATTCTCATAAGTGGATGACAGAAACGTGAAGAGAAAAACCTGTTGCTAAATTCAGCTTTCTTCGTTATTGCTTCTCTTTCAACTGGTGCAATGTTTCATTATACAAGCTTGTGCTATATAGTTTTGCTATTTATATATATATGTACTCATAGTATGAGTACATAAGTACAGTGAGTAACTAGTGTATACAATTAAAATTAAAAATATACTCTTGAATGTAAATATACTTACTGTACAAAAATAATTAGATATATGAATGTATACACATGCATACATACGTACATACACACTCATTGAACATTTCTTCTCCAGAATATATAAGAGCACTATGTTTATACCAAAAATAGCTGCTGTAGAGAAATCTGCACATGAATGAATATGTTGTGAAGCAAAAGAGAAATTAAGAACTGTGATTTATTCGGCCAAATCAAACACCAGTCAGTTACAACCAAATCACTAAAGCTGTAAGTGCTGTTACATATGGAAAACGTAGTTCATGTCATGACATTTTTAACAGTTATTGAGCATAGTATTCAATATAAAAGAAAACATAATGCAACCTTTTTTTTTTTTTTTTTTTTTGTTGTTGTTGTTGTTTTTTCCATCCTCTTTAATTGCTTTCAGTTTCTGCCTTGCAGTGAGGTAGTTTGGCACAATTCATTTATATTAAATATCTTAATTTTGTTGATTGCCTGAACTCAGTAGTTCTTAATTTCATATCACACATGCCTAGTGCTATTTTCACGCATGAAGCTGCTGAAAAATTATCAGTAAAGACATAAAGTAAGTAATTTAGATCAAATTTTTCATAAAGACAAAAAAATGAAATTAATAATTCATATATTTTAGATAATCCTGTAAATGCAATAACGTATTTAAGAAATGTTAAAACCAGAACTTTTCAGACAAGCAATACCCCTACTTTATTTATATATATATATATAACGAAAAAGTAAGCTCTACACAGCTGTTTATTAAAAGACTTGAATTTCAGAATGTAAAAAAAAAAGTAGAAGAAATGCTATGCTGGAGCAGATCTGCATATATATTTAAATTCTCTAAACATAAATAACTATCCAGGTAAGTTGATTTAGGTATGGCTTTCTTTTATTGAAAATACTTAATTACATAAATGGGAAAAGGAAACAAAGAAGTTTTATAAATTTTATTTCTACACTAAATAATGTCACACAGAATCAAAACACATTGCAGGAAAGTACTGGAATCATTCAGTGAGGCAATACAACTGTTGCCACTTACACTGTATGTAAATAGCTATTGAAATGCAAATTAACCCTCGATATCTATTTCAGAGTGGGGCAGGCAGATGCAATAGAATTCATTGTTCAAAAGAGTTCTGTTGTGCTGAAGTGATCACTCAACTTATAAAGTGGTCAGATCAAATTGCATCCTGTATAGCAAGATGGTGCATGTTTAGGGTAAAGAATGTTCAAGAACTTAGCATTGTTCAACTAAATCTGTAATATATATAAATAGGAATGTAGTTTTTATTGAAAGGTAAGTTTATTCCATAAGTAATAGGAAAATTTGTAGGATAAAAGCATTTTTCAAAAACCATATTTTTCTTCTTAGTTTTTCTTTCTGGTGTATAAATGTTTATTTTTTATAATAATTGTTTTGGAAAAAAGAAGGATATCCCATAATTCTAAATGCTTGGTGAAGGCTTCCACTTATCATAGTGGATCTTCATGTGAATATTTTACTATGTATTTGAAATTTTCATCATGCATGTGCTTTGATTACGTTTTACCCTTTTATGTTGAATATAAAATTGGAAATTCTATGAGTATTTATTGTGTTTAATGTTTAGTGTTTATGATATATTTTTTAAAAAGAAAAATATTCTGTAATTCCAAATGCTTGGTCTATCATATGAAAAACTAAATAGTTTTTTTTTTCAAACTTATTAATCATATTACATACATGTTCTGAGCTGGAAAGTTGGAAGAGTGTTCTTGCTGTGGATTAGAAATGCTTACTGACATAGCACTCTTAATTTAGAGAGTATTCCTTGATGGATACCGAATTTATTGCAATTTATATTGAGTGACATAATCAGATTTAAACATGAATGCAGTATCAGTTCTCATTTGAGTAGTCAGTATCGCTTTCTGATGAGGTAGAAAAAATAAATAAGCAGTTGCTGACATACCGAAAGACAGCTATGTTCATTGTTGTACCTGATAATTAGAATCTTGTTATCATCATTGAACTAGTAGTACAATATTTAGAACTACTTCCATTTAAGCATATTTGAAAAATTTACATGAAAGTGAGGTAATACCTTGTGTTTAGAAACAAGAAGTCATCTTCACTTTAATTAGGTCATTTAATGCAAATGGAATATCATCTCACACAGCTGAAATCTGATGGTTATGAGATGCAACATTAATTCACTTTGTGAAAGGAAAGGACTTTCATCGAATTTGTTGTTACTACTGACAAAATCAAATGTTTTATATTCGATAAGTGCACAGAACCAGAAGTTCAAACGATTCGTGATGCATACACCTGAAAGCAACAACACTGATATGAAGACATTTTGCTGAATTTGATAAATAGCAAACTTATGGAAAAACAACTGCATTGAAAGCTATTAAGGCTGATGTCAGCCAATGAATTTTGATACCAAGGAATCATGAAAGGCAAAGCATAGACTTATTTCACCTCTCATTATTGTGCGTATATAGGATTAGATCCACATTTTGAAAGAAAGAAATTGGATGCAGAGCAACAAGGATAAAGATGAGCTGAGATGTCAACTTGCAAAGTTGAAGTATATCATTAAATTCTTTTGCAAAGAGTAAGTGTGAATTCCTTTAAGAATGCCTATGTGAAATGAGTGATATGTGGCATAGAATTTAAGGATAAGCAGGCAACAGCTAATCTTTATCATTAGGGCCTTTTTTTATAAAGAAAGCTTTGAAAATTTATTTAGAGCTGGTGTACTTGGTGATAGCTTTGGTACCTTCCCCAACAGCATGTTTTGCCAGTTCATCAGGCAACAACAGTCGTACTGCAGTTTGAGTTTCTTGCCTAGTGATAGTACTCCTCTTATTGTAATGAGCTAAACGAAAAAATTCTGCTGCAATTCTCTCAAAGATGTCGTTAACGAAGGAATTCGTGATGGACATTGCTTTGCTGGAAATACCAATGTCGGGATGAACCTGTTTCAAAACCTTGTAGATATAAATAGCGAAAGATTCCTTCCTGCGCTTTTTCCTCTTTTTCTTGTCACCAGCTCGTTCTCATCCAACTGCTTTAATTTCCATCCAACCTATCTTGGAGAGAAAAAGTTCATTATAATATATGCATATTCAAATTATTTTTATTACAGTTTACTATTACACATATTGTGGGTTGTAGTTATTACCTTCTAATTTATTGTTTCCCACCCAGCTATAAAAAAAATATGTTTCCCAATGGGAAATGCTTCATAACCTTTATGATTCATAAAAAAAAATATCACAGATGTGCATCAAGTAAAGGAATACTTTTGAACTCAGAGTTTTGGGTTACGTACATGTTATTTATTTCTGTATATTGTAAATGTCAACGGCCATACTATGCTGAAAGTACCGGTTCTCGTCCGATCACCGAAGTCAAGCAGAGCCCCCGCAGCCGACGGGAGGGGGACCCCTATGGACACATCATCGATTCTCCTCCACTGAGCCAAAGTTCCTGTCACCATAAAAAGAAGAAGTAATCGTTGACAACTGCTTGCAATTAAGCAACTTTATGCATTAAATCGAGATTCGCAGAGCTGGAGGCAACGCTGACCAGATCAAGAAGGACGAACGCCGCTCGAGCACTTCGATCTCAAGCAAGTCGAAAAGGAGTCACAGGTAGTACTCTTTTCACTAACCTCTCTTGCTAAACGCCTAAATCTCCCCCTTTTCGCAATCCCAAGCACAGAAGAAGAGTGCTTTCAAAAACTTATTTCGCGCATGCGAAAACCCCCCTGATGTGATTATCAATTGGATGTTATCTCGAAAATCTGTAAAAAAGATGCCCCAATCAGAGAAAAATAGTAATAATTCCAATAGCAGTAAAAATAATATTGTCAAACCAGCCAAACTAATATTTGATCATCGAGAAAAATATAATCTGAAATCGCCTAAAAAAGCATCGAATACTACGCCAAAAACAACACCCACAAAAGCTAAATTAACAGCAAACAACCACCCCAAAAAAAGCCGAAAGTTGATTCTGAGGGGTTTTCAATCCCTTCTAAACACCTTATCGCTAAAAAGCCATCCCTAAAAGAACTTGATAAAGAGAATGAAAAGCAAAGCTCAAAGGAAACCACTTCCTCTTCGCCTCCATCTTGGAGCGAAAGGAGTGAACAAACCAGTTCTGCCTCCCCCCCTCACTAGAGGAAGGAGAAATTCAGGAAGAAGCCTCGGAGCGGAGCGAAAGCGGGCCTCCCCCTCCCCCTCCCGCTAAGAATATTCCGCACTTTTTTGTCGTTCCGAACGACTGGAAATTCTTAGTTAAAGTTGTACAGCGAACTGTACCGAAAGCACAGTGCCGAATGAAAGGCCACTATTTAAGAATCACAGTAACCTCTGAAGAGGAGTATCGATCTGTAGACCACGTCCTGAGAAATCAGGGCGCGGAATACAAATCATTCCATCTGAAACAGGATCGTCCCGTCAAAGTGATCATTCGGGGTTTCCCGGTGAAAACTGAGACGGAGGAAATCAAATCTGAACTTGCTCTGATGGGTTACAGTGTGATAAGCGTAACGCAGTTAAGACGTTACAAATCCCGGCACCCAATGCCTCTGTTTCTCATACAACTAAATCCAACAATCAGTGTGTATGACATCTTCGAAGAAACTCAAATTTTCGGCATGGACATACAAGTAGAAAAACACCGTGGCCGTAAAGGAAAGGTCTCCCAGTGCTGGAGATGTCAAGGATTTTTTCATTCCAGTGCTGTATGCACGCTTCCCATCCGATGTCTGCGATGCGCTGGACCTCACTTTGCCCGGGACTGCCCCAAGCCATTTGAGGAGCCCAACGTCTGTGCAAACTGCTCAGGAGGACACGCAGCCAACTGGAACTACTGTCCAAGAAATCCAGCCAACAAGACCCAGAAACAGAGGATCTCACCTAATCCTGTTTCGAAAATCCCAGGTGCCGGGAAACAAAATTTTGTACCCGCTCCCGCTCCTACTCCATTTAGCAGCACGGCCCCCTTATTTTCATCAGTTGTAGCAAATAAGCGTACAAATCCCGGAAGAACGTCCGTTCCTGCTAGTAATGCAGCAGCACCCCAACCATCTCTACTGTTCCTGTGACTGTTCCTGCGCTGGAGAAACCACCGGCCCAGGTTCTAGCCCCGACTGCAGCTCCAGATGATAACTCCTGCACAGACACACTCAGGAGTGTCTTTCAAATTTCAAGGGAGTTTGGAATCGACCAGAACCTGTTACTAGCAGCATTCCGGAAGGCCCTTCCACAACTTAAATCCGCTACCTCTGGACCGGAGCGAGCATTTTACATCTTTGAAAGTTACTGTGCTCTCACAGCTTAAAATACAACTTCAACATTCAACGCCTCAAATAGAGACAATCTTCTCATCGGCTTCTGGAATGCGAACGGCGTTCTTCCCAAAATACACGAATTACGGGATTATATCAGTGAGCATGCTGTGGACCTCTTCCTTGTTCAGGAAACTCATCTGGTTGAGGAACGTAGCGCCAATATTCCTAATTATTACTGCTACCGCAATGATAGAGCGGCTAGTAACAGTGACGCTATTCGCGCTAGTGGTGGCACTGCTATTTATGTAAAACGCACTGTCAAACACAGCAGAATTCCAACTCCGCACATGGAGGCTCTCGAAGCAACTATTGTCCAAATTTATATTCAAAATTTACCCCCCATAGCAGTAGCGTCCTGCTATATGCCTCCAAGAAAGGGACCAAACTTTCTCCCTGACCTTAAAAAACTTAGCGGAGTCCTAAATAACATGATGATTATTGCAGGAGATTTTAATGCCCGCCATAGAAGTTGGGATTGCGTCACTGCCAATAACTATGGTGACAAATTAAAAAACTGGGCTCAGGGCGCCCACATCCAAATTATTGCGCCAGGAGTACCTACGCATTATCAGTTTCCTGGAGGCATAGGTGCACCATCTATTATTGATTTGGCTCTGTTCAAAAATATACCGTTAGATCATTCGATACAAGTGATACCGGAATTGTCAAGTGACCATTACCCGGTTCACCTTACCCTTAACTGTGTCAAAATTAATCAAAATTTACCGGCGCAAGTCTCCACTAATTGGGACAATTTCCGGCATATTTTGAACTTCAAAAAATCTTCCCCCCCTCAAAATTAGCAATAATCATGATGTTGATAACTCTATTGAGCAACTCACCTGCACAATTAAAAGTGCATTTGATGCGGCCTCATTCCCTAAATTTAGACCAAATTATTCCAAACTCCCGGCCTACATTAAAGATAAAATCAAAATTAAAAACCGTCTTCGTAGAGATTGGCAAAGAACCCGAGTCGAAACTACCAGAACACAACTACGAAGACTCCAGAACGAGATTAAATCTGACATCAAAAGGTATTCTGATGATAAATTTAACTCTTATCTTAGGTCCTTAAAGACCACAAATAATAGCCTTTGGGAAGCTAGCGCTCGGCTACGCAAACCAAAAAATGACATTCCCCCCTAATGGGCACGGTTAATAACCGGATGGCAATCACACACAGACAAGGCTGAACGCCTTGCTGACAGTCTACAGGAACAATTTTCACCAAATACTGGGCCTCTGTTCGATACCTGCACTCCGCATGGGCGAGAGGTCCAAATACAGGTTAATAATTTTCTAGAAACAGCCCCTGATTCAGAAGAACCCATCAAAACAACAATGTCTGAGTTAGCATACATAATACGTGACTTAACCCCCAAGAAAGGCACCTGGCCTGGATAATATTAACAATCGCATGATTAAAAAACCTCCCAGTTAAAATCATATTTTACCTAGCATTTTTGTTTAATACTATGCTTAGGCTAAAATATTATCCTGATAGCTGGAAAAAAGCTTGCGTAATTCCTATTCTAAAACCTGCTTCGGACCCAAAAGTCCCTCAAAATTACAGGCCGATCAGCCTCCTGTCCTCTCTTAGTAAACTTTACGAAACAATATTGCTTAGACACCTGAAAGATTTCTGCCGAAACCGAAATATAATTATCCCACAACAATTCGGTTTTCGAGCTAAACACTCCACTCAGGCCCAGCTACTGAGAGTAGTGGAAATCATTCATACGGGTGCTCGCAATAGAATGCCAACAGCTATTGTTTATTTAGATGTAGCAAAGGCATTCGACAGGTGTTGGCACATCGGCATAATATACAAGCTCATGCGACTTGGACTTTCGGCTGACTTTGTGCGACTAATGCACTCCTACCTAAATAATCGGCATTTCTGTGTTAAAGTTAAAAATTCTCTCTCTTCCCCCCGTCCCTATCCTTGCTGGGGTCCCTCAGGGAGGAATAATTAGCGCGTATCTTTTTAACCTGTATGTAAACGACATTCCACAATTACCCACTGTCGATCTTGCACTTTATGCAGACGACACTGCCATTATTTCACAACACTCAACTCTTCACCACACTTTGCATCATCTCCAGCAATATCCTGTCAGATTTAGAGTCCTGGCTCGTTGACTGGAAGATCAAAATTAATGTTGCAAAAAGTGCTGCCACCGTTTTCTTTTCCAGAAAAAGGAATGTTCACAGCCAACTCCAACCACTCAAGCTCTACAATGAAAACGTACCTTGGGTGGACTACTACAAATATCTCGGAGTTTACCTGGATGCGAAGCTAATCTGGGGCGTCCATATCTCATACGCAATAAGCAAAGCTAAAACCACCAGGAACCAACTAATGCAACTTATATCCCGATCCAGCCATCTGTCTCTCCGCAACAAGCTCCTACTCTATACAAGCACCATCATGCCAATACTGACGTACGCCGCACCCATCTGGGCCACTGCAGCTAACTCACATCTCAAGAAGATCCAAGTCTTTCAAAACGTCACGCTTCGCATCCTCACTAATGCTCACTGGTATGTACGCAATGAAGTACTCCATTCTGACCTCAAAATTCTTCCCCTGGATGCTTATTTCAAGCACATTTCGGCAAAATTTTTCAATAGAATTGAACAGATTAGCAACCCGGTCCTGCACAACATTCCTGCCTATAACCCAGCTGAACCTAGTTCTGCTAAAAGACCTAGGGCTGTCATGGACAGATCTTATAACATCTTCCCTAGGCGGCCTAAAAGGGTTTGTTTGCTTGATCGGGGAACCTCATCTGACTAAACTATCAGTACTTCACGGGCCTAACCCAGCTACATTTAACTTATACCCCCCAGACCTAATCTGGCATAGCTTTTCGCGAATCCATCACCGTGCTGCTATATTTTTATTTAATACCCACTCTTGCCAAGACCTCTACTGCCAGAAGAATGTAGAATGTAATTACTTATAATTCCAAATATCTATACCATCTAAAACTTAAAGCATATCACTCTTTAATTATTTTTATCTCTATAAAGCTAAAACCTCAAT